TTGACCTATGGTTGACTTCTCTTTTTGATTATTACAAACAAATTGTGTTTATTTCTAACAAATTGTATTCGAGTGTTGATAGAGAAAATTACAAATCAAATTTGAAGAGGCAAAATTAGAAACAAAGTAATTAATAAGCAACAATTGACATGGAAGTAAAAGCAATGTTGTGAAGATTTCTATTAAAATAAAAGTCAAATCATAAGTCTAGCATGCACGTCAAGACGAAGAGCCTCATTGAAGAAAATAGACTTAGACGTTTCAATCTCGTATGTAAAGGTAATATGCTTCAATATTTGGCAATGAATCTTAAAAGGCTGAAGTATCGGCTTTATACACAAACATATTCATCTCACAAAAATATTTACATAAGATAATTTTTCAAGTTTCAATCTTATATTAAAAATGTCACTTATCTTGGAAAATCAGGTAAAAACTTCATTCAAAGAATTACTTTTGTCAAAATTGTTGAAGAAGGAATTTTACCAAAATCTGCTATAGTGGACGTTCGGTATGTCTGTTGGACATCTGATAGAACAAACGGTAAATTTTTTAACCGTTCTGAATTACAATGGCTAGTGAACCTTTCGGCACTATAGTGAACATCTAGTACACAAATTTTTTTATGGTTCTACAACTATAAATATCTCCTCGCTTTGCATTCATTGAGACAACAAAAAGGAGCAATTTAATGAGGCTTTTATTGATCTCAACTACCTTATTTATCAATCTTTAGAAGATCAAAATATTTAATTCTTGAAAAAAAATTTTAGTGATCAAAATCTGTAAAAATCTTTCATCTTAATTAAAGTTTAACAAACAAACACTAGAGCTCTATTCTTTGCAAATTATTGAAGTGTAGAGCCTACTTCTCTCTTGATACTTAATTGTGATCATATTATTTATTAAGAGAGAAAGCTTTCACTAGTAATTTTTCTTTCTCTTGTTTTTTATTGTGGGCTGTGTTGAAGTCCCAGAAATTTCAACGTTGTGAAAGGGTCGATGCTTCTTGGTTGTAAGTCACCGAAAGCATCGTAAGGGTTGAATTGCGCCATAAGTCAATCAATAATAATGAAAAATGCCTTGCTCAAAGTGTTGTAAAGGTTGGATTGTGCCATAAGTTATATAATATGAATTTTGTGTTGTTCTGAAAAACCTTCATAACTCAAAGCACTACAAGTAAGTGATTTGGGGTCTTGTGCTAAAATACGATTGGGTTTAATGTGCCAAAGGTGATTTTGTGTGAATTTGAAGGCAAGATTTCGTCACTAATGGGTTTCAGTAAAAGGAAAATAATGTTTTATTGCGAATTATATTTGTGGTACACCACATTGAACGTATATTTGTCCAAGTTGAAAGTAATTTTATTCGTCAAAATGTAACTTTGAATTAATTGTTGTTGCATATTCAGCATCAATTGGTATCACCTTAGGATATGAGGGCTTCAACGAAGGATATACAAAAGGGGAAAAAAGAAAAAGGAAAAAATGGAGCCGACATGATGATCATAGCAGTTTTGACATCAAAAAGCATGCAAAAAATTCGGCCAACTTACTTTGTAGACCACTAGAGAATGTAATGTGTTTAGTTGGATGGAAATTAATCTTTTTTCCTACCAATGAATTCAATTCCGTGCAAGAGAGGTTGAAGAGTGTCACTCATATGAAGTGGGCTTTGGGCGTAGCAAACCAAACCAAATCAAAGAGGATGGGCCAAGCGACATGCTTTCTTGTGATGGAGGACCTCTTCCATATTATTGTAATTTTGGTAATGCCTAATAGCTTTATTAATTTAACATATTATAACATTCAAAAAAGTTGTAATTTATCCAAGGCTTCATGCTCTAATTAATATTACTGTTAAAAAACCACATAATAGTACATATTGATAATTCATATGAATGCATATGATAAATTTTATTTATTTATTTATGTGTGATAGTTGCACTATTGGTCCCTAGTCTATTGCAACAATAGTAAGTTGTTTATCATCCTTTCTGCAAGACGTTTAGTGATGGGGAAGAGAGAATTAATAAGTATTTTTTAAGGGAAAATTTATATTAAAATAACAAACCTTTATTGTAGTATGCCTTTTCATCACCATTATTGTATTTATTTTCTGGAATCAAATGAAAGGAGAATAATTAGGGATGGCAAAAAGGCTCGAGAGCTCGGGCCGCCCATGGCTCGACCTGCAAAAAGCTCAAGCCAGCTCGACTCGAGGCTCAGTTTGGGCTCAGGGCAAGCCCAAGCCGGTACGTGTGGCTCTCGGGCTGGCTTAAAAAAATGCAAAGCAGCCTGCTACTTTTAAACAAAGGCAGCTGGTCTTTAAAAATAATCCTAAATATAATGAAGGTTGAAAATAGAATCATTATATATTAGCAAATAATAGAATTTCAATGCATCCACCTTTTTTTTGGGTATTTAAGTGGATTTTATTTCATAAGACTTGTCATTTCCCTGAAAACTGACACAGCATTGCAAATTCTCTCGCCAATTTGTATACAAGCCATTGCATAATAATGACAAACAAAATTATACTCTTCAGAAGAATAAATATCCAATAAATTCAATTATAGAACCCTTGTAGATTTCTCAAGATACCTTCTTACATACACCTTTGCATCAGATACGACTTGAATCTCTCCCAAAGATGTATCTTCTTGACCAATCACCTATTACTAGGAACCTTGTGCGCTAGCTAACTTGCTTGCTGAGTGTAACAAATAGTATATGAATAGTAAGTCATACATATCAGATTTCATGCTCAATAAGAAAGAGTGACATTTATTCAACCAGATCTAACCTTGCATACACAGAATACCAAAGCCACTGTGTACTATGACCCATGGAAACCCAGTCTCCAGGCAGTTCTGCTGCTGCTTGTTCCCCTCCAAGTGGTGCAAATTGCCCAAGATGTCGGTACCTAACATTCGAGATGTCAAATTATCAAAAGTTGTAAAGGATTGAATATTTATGGCGTGTTTGATAGAGAGGATAGTACGCTATAATAGTAAAGATGAAAACACACTAAAATTATGTTCATTATAGTATTTACTAAAATACCTAACATGCACATATGGCATGTTTACTGTGNTGTGGGTGCTCCAGTCCAGCTTTGTTCTTGTTCTAGATTGACTGCATTGTGGTTCCTGTTTCGTCCAGCTTGGTTTCTAGTCTGTGGTTCTCTTCCAGATTATTTTTGCTGGAGTTTGTTTCCTACTTGCCTGGGTTTTGTTGGTGCTTTTTTCATTTGTGTTGCTTCTGGACGTTGGCTCTTTCTTCTTGTCTAGGTAGTATTCTCTTCTCTTTGGCAGTTGGTTTCTGGTTTCTTGGTTCTTCTCCTTGTGCTATGCGCTTTCTTGGTTCTTCAGGTTCAAGACTTGTATGTATTGTGTATGTATCTTGTACTTTGGACATGTGATGGATTTTTGAATCTCTGGTCAGCCTTTTTGCCTCCTTTTCTGCCTCGTTCAGAGTTTGTTCTCTGACTTCACAGCTTCTAGTCTCTGACTTTGGTACTTTGTGTAGACTATTTTCAGAGTTGGTGGTCTTCTATCTAACCCGACCCCTTCCCTTTTCTCTAAAGGCCGGTTCTATTTGGTTTTCTGGGCTGTTTCTTTCCCTTTCTCTTGATCCATTGCCTTGTGTGTTTTTATGAGTAAAAAGAAAGCCTGTAATCCTAATTTTTTTGGCCTTAGCCCCCTTAAGTCCCAGGTTGCTCGATAGCGTAATGCTAATATGGATGAATATGCCTCTTCCACATTAAAATCAGTTGAGAACTCAAAGGTAAATCTGCCTTCACCTAGTATTTCTTTAACACTTGGGATGAGGATACGAAGTCGGTTAGTTCTAAATCACAATGTCATACGGCTAAAGTAAATTCCCAGAAAGAAGTAAATGCTACTGAACATGTTGGGGAGAAAGAAGTTAAAGTCCCTTGGGTTAACCTTTTTAAAGATAATAGGAAGACGGAAGAGAATATTAAGTTGAAGTCCTTTCATACTCAATCCGATGAAGTTTTTTTGAATGAAATGGACGAAGACAATATTGAAAATAAGTGGGGATACGGTCTCACTGGATATTTTGTCGGTAGGTTTCCCGGAAAAATGGCTCTTCTCCAATTGTACGACTTTTGGAAAGTTGATTAGAAATACTATGTGCATTCGAGTGGGTGGCTAGTATTCCAATTTAAGATGGACATAGATAGGCACCGTTGGAATTTTGGAACACAAACACTTTGGGGAAAATTGTCTCCAAAGTAGGAAAACCCATATCTACCGATAAAGTCACGGCTAGTAGAGGTAGACTTTCTTATGCAAGAGCACTTGTTGAAGTCGATGCATCGAAGGAAGAAAAGGGTAGTTACAGGCTGCTGAAGTGGCCGAACAGGCTGGACAGGTTCTGGGACAGGATGAGGCCCCTTTTGTGGAGGTTGTTAGCAAGAAAAACTGGGCAGTTTCTGGAAATAAAAATGCACGTACTATGGCACCTATTTCTATGGCAGATTCTTCAGAAAAAGTCAATGAGGCAGAATCAAATAATTCTGGAAATGAAAAGCTCAAAGGTATTCTTGTTGAGCAAAGAAAATCGGTAACAAAAGTTGGCAAGAAGAAGGGTACATCCCTTACTTCAACGTCATGAAGTTAGCATCTTGGAATATTAGGGATATGAATCCACCCCTTAAACAAAGTGGGATTCGTGAATTTATCAAGCAACATTACATTGATATCATGGGTATTTTGGAAACAAAGTTGGGGGATCAAAAATTGATTAGAATTTTGAGGAATAAGTTCGATGGCTTCATGCATGTATATGCTTTTTACACTCATAGAGCTGGACTGATCTTTATTTTGTGGAATCCATCCAAAGTGTTTTTGGATGTGATGGAGGTTCATTCATTGTAAAGCTACTTGCAAGGTTACATCTTATACCTTTCTTGTTAATTTCGTTTATAGATTTCATACTATTGTTAGCCGGAGGCCACTTTGGAATAACATTATGGAGTTCAACGCAAATGTTTGGTTACCATGGTTGATTCTTGGTGACTACAACAATGTTCTTAAATTTGATGAGAAATGTAATGGGGCGGACGTTACCCCTTATGAAATCAAGGATCTCACAAATTGTTGCCTTCATGTGGGTCTCACGGATGTGTGCTCCATTGTTTGTTATTACAAGTGGACTAATGGTTCAGTTTGGAGCAAAAGTGATAGGGCAATCGTCAATGATATTTGGGTGCAAAATGGGGCGTACGTTGATGCAAATTTTTTACTTTCCGGATGCCTTTCCGACCACTCCCCTTGCATTGTTTCTATTCATGATCGTGTTGGGAGCGCTAAAACACCTTTCAAGTTTTTTAACAAACGGACTAAGCATGAGGACTTCCATGATCTTATTCAAGCTTCTATGAATTTTAATGTGTGGGGACAAAGCAATTTATCCTTTGCAAGAAGTTTAGCAAACTAAAGGAAGCTTTGAAAGAGCTTAATATTAAGCATTTTGGGTGCATTTTGGATAGGGTAAACGTGGCAAAAAATGAATTGGAAGCTGCCCAAATTCAACTACATAATCAGCCCATGAATGAAAATTTTCAATTATGGTTGCTAAATTGAGGAAGAAAGCCCTCGGTTTATGTGAAGCGGAGCGTTGTTTTTATTATCAAAGGCAAAGCACATCTTCCTTAAGCAAAGTGATAAATATACAAAATTCTTTCACTCCGTGGTTAAAAGGAACTCAAGGAGGAATTTTATAGCTACTATTCTTAAGGAGGACAGGATATATACCACTTTACAAGACTAAGTTGCATTGAAATTTGTCAATTTCTATTCTAACTTACTGGGAAAAAAGAGTCGGTTCGGCCAATTGACAAGGACATCATTTGCAATGGGCCTTTGGTATCTTTGGAATAAGTCAATGCATTGATTTGGATATTTCTTTTGAGGAGATCAAAGAAACTCTTTTTAGGATTGAAGATGATAAATCTCCCAGGCCGGATGGGTACACTTCATGTCTTTTCAAGAGCGCATGGGGGTGTATTGAACATGATTTTGTGGAGGCTATCATGGAATTCTTTTCATCGGGTTCCATCCTTAAACAAATCAACCATGCGGTCATTGCTTTAGTGCAAAATTCAAGTCATAATCCGAGTTTTGGGGATTACAGACCGATATCTTGTTGTAATGTGATCTGTAAAGTGATAACAAAAACCCTTGCATCTAGATTGAGGCCTATCTTGGGGGACATTGTGGACCAAGCACAAACCGCTTTCATTGAATGTAGGAGTATGACGGAAAATATACATCTTGCTCAAGAACTTTTGAGACAATACAATAGAAAGAGGGTCACTTCGAGATGCCTCCTAAAAATTGATATAAGGAAAGCTTATGACTTGGTAAGTTGGGACTTTCTCAAAAGTGTACTTGAAGGGTTGAATTTTCCTTTGAGATTTACTCAATGGGCTATGGAATGTGTTACCTCTCCAACATATTCCGTTGCTTTGAATGAGAGTATGCATGGATTCTTCAAAGGCGGGAAAGGTCTTCAGGAAGGTGATCCACTTTCCCCTTTTTTGTTTGTGCTTTATCTTGAATATTTTTCTAGAATGATCAAGGATGCTACAAATGATAGTGATTTTAATTATCACCTGAAATGTGGTCCCCTGAAGATAACTCACTTGGCTTTTGCGAATCACTTGACGCTCTTTGCAAGGAGAGATGCTATGTTAGTGGAAATTCTCATGAATTGCCTTGATAACTTTGGTTTAGCATCGGGTTTGAAGATCAACACTTTGAAATCCAGCTTATATACGACTGGGATTTATGGGTTTGAACTTCAAAGAATTGTGGAACTCTCAAATTTCTCGAAGGGTACTATGCCTTTTTGCTACTTTGGTATTCCTCTTGCTTCGGAAAAGCTCAAAGTGAGTTCATATGCTCCATTCCTTGATAAAATTGCAGCTTATATTGGAGCTTGGAATTGCTCATCTCTTTCTTATGCCAGTAAAGTGGAACTCATTACGGCGGTGTTGAATGTTTTTTGCTTTCTATTTTTTCTATCCCGGCTACAATTATTTCAAGGGTTGTTAGCCTTTGTCAGAAATTCCTTTGGGGATCTAAGAAGCCTTTGATTGCATGGAAGGATCTTTACCTTCCAAAAGATGAAGGGGCCTCGGATTAAAGGATTTGAAGAGTTGTAATTTAGCGTTACTTGCTAAATCCCTTTGGAACATACATCATAAAAAGGACACTCTTTGGATTCAGTGGATTCATCAAGTATATCTTAATGGGACTTGCATTTGGGAGGTTTGTCCTTGAAAATATCACTCTCCACTCTTTAAGAAATTGCTGGAAATCAGAGACATATTGTGCGAAAAGGGAGCTGCCCAACAGATTTTTCCTAACGGACAGCTTGTTCCATCTGGGCAGATGGACAATAGAATTATACTACCTCGGTCTGCTGGTTTAGCCCTAAATTACCATGCTAGGCACCCGCAGAACATGGGCCAAACTGGGTAGAATTCAGACAGTTGAGTTGACAAGTAGACAATTCAATACGAGGGATAGTTTCTGGGATTTTTGGATCAGTTTCTGGGCTGCTCAACAAGAGATAAATTCAACACAAAATTGCCTATGATTTCTTTAGGCCTAAGGGTACATTCAACATTTGGGGAGCGAAGTTTGGAACCCGTGCATTACTCCGAAGCATTCATTTTTGCTTTGGTTAAGGGTTCAATCTAAACTCCTAACTAAAGAAAAATTGCAATTTTTGGATATTGATCGTAATTATGTGTTTTGTGGGCATTTGGCGGAAACTTGCGACCATCCTTTCTTTAAATGTTCCTTC